GGATTTGTGGAAGCACGAACGATCGACACAGCGCGACTGAGGTGGCAGGCACACAGGAGGATCATAGTTAGCTAGTATGATCTGTGCCACGATTTGTGGTTGGTAGCACGTAAAAAATTACTTTTCACGAGTATGAATTGATGTGAGCTAGAGTTACGGAGATCTCTGCTTTGTGATCAATTAGAACGAACGCTGTTCAGATTAGCAAAATTTAAACATCGCAGCCACGCATCATAAATGAGGTGTATACATTTTTTTTTTCTTCAAAATACTCAAAATTTCGGTTGGATATTGCACATATCTCGAGATATATGGCTACTACCCAAATTCATGGTCCTACCACAAGGACCAATGGGCAATTGCGGTTTTGATCAGTAAATCGACTATTTGAGGCACAGGTAACATTTGCACATGATATTTATGAGTTAAATGAATTTTATTTCTTATAGCGGCGGTCCCCATGAGACTTTAGGTGTGTGGTTGAACGACACGCTTTAGGGGTGTAATTTCACCAAAAGCTTGAAGAAAATGGTGGTCCTACCACAAGGACCACCGTTATTTTGAGTATTGGGAGTTACATGCGGGGCTCACAGTGATGCTCATGGTTATACATCTTGAGTTTATGACCAAATAAGATAACTGAATCGGTTACTTCGCACCCTCATCATCATTTCCGCTCTATTTCAGCATGGCGCATGTTCAACACAATGCAAATTCCGAATTTAGTGAATTTCGGACTTTAGAAATTGGCATTCATCCATTCTAAAATGTACACGCCAGTCGAAAAATAAGATATTTGGATGATGTTAGACTTTCAGAAATTCGCAATACATATATACTTGAAGATTTAATGTGCCGCACACACCAACCTTGCGATATATGCCCTCTAGCAAGCAATTGTGATGGCTGGCTGGTCAGCTCGCGTGACCACTGTTTTAGGGGGGAAACCACCGAGCCAATATATTAGAGGGGAAGCCAACGAGCCAACGAGCCAATATATGCATTCCAACCGGGCCTACCGCCCAAATATGATTGGGACATATGTATAGGTTCAATTTGATGGTATCCGCGCAGGTGTAGTGTTGATATATGATTGGTAAAAAATTATTGAAGATGAGTCACTAATTTGCCACATTTTGAATGTTCCAAAAAATCCGTTTTGAAAATTTGAGTGTAGAGGTTTGAAATGCGTTCGTCATGGATATATGGGATGGATATAGGCCAAACCAGCGTTCAAATAAATTAATATAGGACCTATATATACCACCTTTCATTGATTAGACACCACAAATCACGGGAGATGGCCAATTAAATTATCGGAACAATGGTCCTCGTGGTAGGACCACATCGTCGATTTGGTCCTACCACAAGGACTGCGGGGCAGTAGCCATATAAGATGGATATAGCTATACCATGGTTTGTTGTGACTTATTTGATGGTATTCTACGATGAGGCTCGCGACACGAATGGTCATCATTATAGGTTATAGAATAAATCGGTAGCGAATCATCATGGCATACGCGGGCGGTCACGTAGTGGGACAGTGGGATAGTGGGCAGTTGGAATCAGTGGGCACCTAGAGGAACATAGTTAGCTTGTGTGATTCGTGCCGTTTGCGAAACGTGTTTGGTAGCACGTACGCAATTACTGTGGACAGATGTGAATGACATGAGTTAATAACGTGATATCTCTGTCTCGTTATACGGTTAAGTGAAAAAACTTACTGATGATATTTTAAACATAGCGCTGTTTTCCAGTGTTTCCGCGCGACCATTTTGAGGCGGTCAACGCGGCACTGTGTATTGAGGAGAAGGGGCTCGAAAGAGGTACCAGCTCGCGAGTTACTGTGGTTGCATACGCCTGGATGCGTTTGTTGAGACCGCAAATTGTTGGACTGGCATATCGAAGGGAGTGAGGCACGCCGGGCGCGGCAACGGAATTCTTTGCGCAGTCTTGCACTAGCGAACACAATTGAGCTTTCAAAATTGTTGGTTTTCCGTATGGAGACATTTTGAGGCCAAGCAGGCCCTTGATTTGCTGGGGATGATATTTATGTAGTTAGGGTTTGAGCTGTTTTTTTACTGTTCATTTTCGTTAGTACGCCATTCGACTATCTGGAGGACGTGGCTGCCGTGACGCGTTTTTTTACATTGCTGTTGGGACGACGACGACGCTTGGGCTCGGGAGACTGGGGGTTCGACGACTGGGAATGGTGGAGAGGACTGGAGCGTTGAGAGCGTCAAGAGCACAGACGCCATCGGCTGAAATAATTCCAGAATCACGCCGGTGGTGAAGCACGAATTGCTTCTGGGATTACTGAGGTGTCGTTGTGCTATCGGCAGGTAAAAACATCGTGACGTTTACTTATATGTGATTTTGTTTGCTGGTTATTTTCCGCTTCATTGCCGGCGATCTATAGCTTCCCTTGATGTGACGGCTGGCGTCAATATGGAAGACTTGTGGCGAGGTGATTACGACAATCGAGGCGGAGAAATGAAGTAAGTTGGCTACGGTTTATTCGGAGATTCTTGCGGTTTTGTTTGAGGACTTTTGTGAAGCTGGCAGAGTTCGATGAAAAGGACGCGAGAAATGTGGTTACACTAGTGGGGAGACGTACGAACGGCAGTGGGCAGTTGGAAGCAGTGGGCACCTAGAGAGACATAGTTAGGTTGAACATATTATATACGTGTAAGCATAGTTATTGGTAACTTATTTCAGTGATCTTTGGTACGAATTTCAGATAAGGTCGAGGACCTATTGTATTTTGCGCCATTATATACTGGAACCTGGTGCGCCTTGTCACCGCAATTTCACGTTGCGTACATTATTGTACGCATACCTTAATCTCAGTGCCATACAACTTCGCATCCGTAAATCGCCATTGTAGTCTTGTATGCCCCGCCCGCGCCAGGTAAAGCGTCGCGTATGTATGCCAGTGGTATCGCCCGCTGTACATGTAAGTCGCGGTCCGTGTAATATCGGATGCCTCTGTTACTTGGTGCATGCCATTCGCTTTGTAGTAAGCCAGAGTGTAATTAAACATAGTTAGGTTGTGTGATTCGTGCGAGCCGTTTGCGAAACGTGTTTGGTAGCACGTACGAAATTACTGTGGACAGATGTGAATGACATGGGCTAAGAACGTGAAATCTTCGTCTCGTTATACAGTTAAGTGAAAACTTACTGATGATATTTTAAACATAGCACAATTCAATCACGCGGCATACCATCGATTGTGAAGTCGATGCTGGAACCCTCTCCTTTTTGTTGCCGGAATGGGGGTTTTATTGTCGCCATGCAGACTTTGGGGGTTGGGTGCAGAATTTTCGGCTGAATGCAGAATTTTCCGAGAAAAAGTGATCCGAACCCTTAGAAATATCGTTTCAGTTCTTGTTCTATCATTTTCCCCTGTGTTAGGCACACGCGGTAGGTGCGATGTGGTGAGCCAGGGTTGTTGTTTAATTCTGTAATTTTCCCTCAGGAAATTCTGCATCCGCCATCGCCATGGCCATCGCCAATAGCATCAGCATTGCCACTTTACCATTACTTCAAATACCACTTCAAATGAAATGTTGTGACGTTTCTTTCCCCGCACGTTGGGTTTATTTCGCGCACTTTGGGTTCATTGATTTCACGTACTTATTTCACGTATTTATTTTCCGTACTTAGTTCGCGCACTTTGGGATTATTTCGCAAACTTTGGGTTTATCATTTTTGCGCACTTTGGGGTTTCCCGTACCTTGAGTTTATTTCGCGTACTTTGAGTTTATCTATGCCACATACTTATTTTGCGTACTTTGGGTTTATATTTAGCGTACGTCGGGTTTATTATTTTCGCGTACTTTGGGTTGTCCCGTACTTTGGGTTTATTTCACGTACTTTGGGTTGACTTTAGGTTGACGTTATTTCACGTACTTATTTCACATATTTATTTTGCGTACTTGTTTAGCGTACTTTGGGTTTATTTAGCGTACTTTGGGTTTATTATGTTTAATTACACTCCGGCTTACCACAAAGCGAATGACATGCACCAAGCAACAGAGGCATCCGATATTACACGGACCGCGACTTACATGCACACCGGGCGATACCACCGGCACACATACGCGACGCTTACCCGGCGCGGGCGGGGCATGCAAGGCTGCAATGACGATTTACGGATGCGAAGTTGTATGGCACGGAGATTAAGGTATGCGTACGATAATGTACGCAACGTGAAATTGCGGTGACGAGGCGCACCAGGTTTCAGTTAATAATGGCTCAAAATATAACAACAGGTCACTGTCCGTATCAGATATTCACACCAAAGAATACTGTAATGTTCTACCAATACTGATGCTAACACGTATATAATATGTCGCACTGCGTTGGTAGTCAGATAAATATGTGCAAGATACGTAACAAATTTGTCCTGAGCGGCACTTTGGACTCCGCTAGTTAGTTTACACACAAACAATACTGGCAATTCGTAAGTGGCGTACGGTAGATATACCAGAGCATGGCTTTGCCATAATTCTGATGCCGTACTCGGCTGTTTGGTCGTGTCGTGTAGCTGCTGTTACTCACATGACGTGGTCATGGACAAATGTCTTTGACACAAATTTGTTCGGGCCCCGATGTGTCCACAAATATGTGACCGTTGAGTTTATTATGTTCACGTACTTTGGGATTTTTTTTTGCATTCTTCGGGTTTATTATTTTCGCGTACTTTGGGTTTCCCCGTACTTTGGGTTTATTTCGCGAGACAAATTTTCCCTTTTCATGGCAACAAAATGTCCCTAATAGTGACATTCTGTTTCATGGCGTCAAATTGTCCCTCTGCAGGACTTTTTGTTGTGGCAAATTTTTTCCCCAATGGCGACAAAAGAAACCCTCACGACAAAAAACACCCGCGTGGCAACAAATTTACCACGGTACCGTCAATGCCACACACGTCATCGCGCCATTCGATTCCGCGGACACTGTACAAGAATGCCACTGCATACGCTTCAGAGCATCAAGTTGCTCCTGTAGCTCAGTGAAATTGAGCGATCGCACTAGCGAGCGACAGGTCACAGGTTCTAGTCCTGTCGGGGGCATTTTCCCCCGGCATTTGAAAGGATCAATCTGACTTGTACAGTGGATTTTTCACTACTATTTATGGAATACTGTACATCGACCAGCGTGAATCGTCATTGCAGCCTTGCATGCTCCGCCCGCGCCGGGTAAAGCGTCGCGTATGTATGCCGGCGGTATCGCCCGGTGTACATGTAAGTCGCGGTCCGTGTAATATCGGATGCCTCTGTTGCTTGGTGCATGCCAGTCGTTTTGTAATAAGCCAGAGTGTAATTAGATTATATACTACGACGAACACGATGTCACATGCTGTACTTTGGATGTCATACACATGTCATACTTTGGATTTCCCCAAAACCACGTATTTTTGCAAACAATTCCAACCGCAGCAAAGGGGTTAACTGTAAATATGCCTTGCTTGCGTGTGGGCACATATGCAGCAGCATTTCTACAGGAGGGGTTGCATATTTATACCTGCAGATATATTGTATGTGCAAGCATGTGGCATATTTACAGGCAGCTCCGTTAAGAGCTGCATATTCGATACGCAACCCGGAGTTACGGTTCGAACTTGTGCGGAGGGAGGGCGCACACTTCCCATTAATTATATGTGATATATGTCAAATCCAGCAATTTACATAACCAACTAGTATATACGCTTAGTTATTATTATTCACTCTAACTTACCACCACGCATTGTGCAATATGTACCAAGCAATAGAAACATCCAATAATTGAATCAGACCGTGATAATCGCGACGCGTGTCCGGGACTATATACATTTAATAAGGTTACACGATCCGCGCGCACTTTGTATTTTTGTTGCATCAGTCCGTGTGTTTGACCGGATGCCGCTGTGGTTGGCACACGCACGTTAATTATACTCTGGCTTACCGCAAAGCAACTCACACTGGCATGCACCAAGCAACAGCGGCATTCGATATTACACGCAATGACAGCGTCGTGGTAAAACCGAGCCGATTCCATACAATAGTTGAAAATTATGCGTCCTCAAAATATATGTCAATGGGAGATTTGCAGCAGGAAGATATGGCATCACCTTGCCGGTTCCGGGAGGGCCTTGCGTGCAGTGGGCTGAGCACAGCAGACCCTTACAGAAGGCCGCCAGCTGCGTGCCATACAGGTTTGCGTCCGTTGCCAACGTCCCCAGCTTGCAGCCCAGCTCTATGCGCGCCTCCGCTGGGAGCCGCCTGATGAGCTCAATCTCGCTCCGGCCAACGGCGTCAGCGACGGCGGCTTTGCATGACTCCCCGGGTCCAGGGGCCGCCCGTCGCTCATCTTTGCGCTCGGGACCCCCAAAGAGGGGGACGGGTACCCCAAGCAGGCGCTCCACGAAGGGAATTTCGTTCAGGTGCCCCCGCAGTGCCGGATCTGCCAGGGTGGAGAGCACAGGCAGTACCTCGGGGACGAACACCCGGAGGTCCACCACCGCCACGCGCAAGCCTTCCTCCAGCGGAGTGCGGGCACACTGCTGCAGCGCGCCCTGCCGCCCGGTGCACCCCAGCAACTGCAGCGCCATCCGGCCGCGTTGCCGGCAAGTGTCGTCAGGGGGCGCTTTCGGACCGACGGCGACCGGCACGATCTCGGCCCACTGTAGAGCACGATCCGGCGGCAGCGGCTCGTAGGACGCTCCAAGACGCATCACGGCCACCAGCGCGGAGCACTTCAGCCGGTATGAGGTGCGCCAGTTGGGCGCCATGGTGGGCGGCCGCCGGGACTCCAGCTGTGACAGTATGTACACCTGGAGCGTCGCACAGACAACACAAGACAAGGAACGGAGTGGGGAGGGGGTGCGATATCAGACACCGACAGCATGCGCACCCGTGGCGCAGCCCAGGGGGGAGGCGGGGGATAGGAACGGGCCTCTGTAAAATTATATGTACCGCTGCGCGTAGCAGACTCACTTGTGCATCCATGGGTATGGGGATGCTCAGCTTTACGCCGATTTTCAAACGATTGATCTGCTGGCTATCACATCACTCATGCAATCTTAGGAAATTGCCTGTAATTAAGTGCTGAGTTTGCTGCCCCAAATACTCTGCACGCCGACGAGACATATGCATGTTGAGCACCGTTGGTGAACATGCGCACATTGAGCATGGGCACCGGCGTGTGCGCGTGTGTGTCTGTAGTATTCACTCTGGCTTACCACCACGCATTGTGCGATTCGTGCCAAGCAACAGAGGCATCCGATTGGTAAATCAGATCGTGATAATCACGACGCGTGTCCCGGCGCGACGGGGCATACAAGGCTACCCACGAAGCGATTCACAGCGTGAAACACACATACGTGTAAGTATGAGCGAAGTTCGCTGCATACACAGATTATATCACCATGCACCACGTGATTATCCGTACACGCGCGGTAATGCATGCTGTGTTACGAACACATGCATGTAGGCAGCTGGCTCGATGACGCGTACCCTTGGAAAATAACGTCTCAAAGCCGAACTTGTGTGTGGTCGTCAGGAACGGATCGTTCACCGCGCGTGCGTATATACAATACTTGCAATATTCTAGCAATAGTCGCACTGACCACTTACAAACAAGTCGTGACTTTGTGTACGATAGGTGTGTTGTATCCGTGCTGTCCTTGAGCTGAGCTTTGGATGCAGCTGGCTCGTTTACACACGAGGATGATACTGGGTGGGTGTGTGTGTCTGTGTGTGTATGCTTATCCTTGGACCGACTCCTTTGGCACCCCGTAGCCACAGAACACCGGCTGCACTATGTACCCACGCCGGGAATCAAAGGATTCAGCACACACTGTGGGACACTTATCCGGATTCTCCGGAGCTCACCAGTGAATAATGGGACTCCCTAAGCCTCACTGAGCCACCCGGGCCCCTCTGCATTCGCACCGCTGGCGCACTGCTGCATTGTGCCTGAAGCCGGCTTATCCCTGCCCCCCGAGCTGCGCGAGCCATATCTCCACCATCAAGCCTACGCACTTCTCGCGAACCCGTCTGAGGCGTGCACCTCTCTCCGGGCCGCGGGGCACAAAAATAGATATTTTTAAAAATGTAATTTTCCTACTGACTGTGTTCGCAGGACTCCAAGACAACGGTAACAACGGCGATGGGGCGACACAGGTGAGAAACGAGGTGCGCCACCCTGTGTCTGTAGCGCCGTACTTTGCATGCAGTGCCCAAAACCCCGGTCCGTACAAGCCAGACACAAGACGTCCAGCAACTGAAAAACCTAAGTTAGCCAACATGAAAGCCGGCAATGTGCGAAAATTCGGAGAACGAAGTCCCCAACAAGTGGGGCAGGAAGATAAATCGAGCAGACACATGGAACGAGAACGAGGATCAGCGGACCAGGAGAACACTGAGGAGTTCATCAGAGAAATCAGAGCGCAAGCAGCGAAGAAAACTGACACGTACCCGGGCGGAGCGACCATGCCAGACCTCTGTGATACGCATGGAGAGGATATGAAGAAACTGATTGAGGCCGCGGGGGCTGAAGACGCGGATATGACGGCGCTGGAGGCGGTGGCAGAATACATGACTGTCTACGAGGACACGCGGAAAGTAAAATACCAGCGGGGCTTCCCACTGGAGAGCATCTACGGGCTCCCGGCGGGACACGGCAAAACTCGATACCAGCTGGTAGTGAACTGTACTGACCTGACCTCAGAGGAGCAGGATGAAGTTGGCATGCACAAGAAGGGACCGCAGGTGACGGTGGGGCCCTTTCGGGAAGAGCCAAAAGCAGCGAGGCAGTACATCGGCCACTTGGAGTCGGCGATCCGACACTTTCACGACCTCCCTGACACTGCCCCGGTTCTGTGCGGCGGCGAAACCCAGCTACGCTGGTATGCTGATAAGATAGCAGAGCTTCATCTCACCTTTGAAAAAAGTGAATATGCCATCACTGCGCTGGCGACATCTCTGGCACATCTACCTCTCCACTGCGTACCACTGGGGGCAGACAACTTCCAAGCAGCAGACGTTTGCATCCCGAGGGTACGGGTATTTCATCCGAGGCAGACAAGGACGGGCAACGCGGAGCGACAGCTGCACATAATCAGCGAAGAGTTGCGTGGGCACACGACCAAAGACTTCGAGAAACAACTGCGCAGTATGCCCTCTGTTGAATCAGCAATCAAAGGGGCGCGGGGACTGCCCGCGTACATGGAGAAGCACACCAACAGCATACGGCTGGTGGCGGTCACGGAGGAGGCCGCTGACAACATAGAGTCGAAGGTGCTGGCCTTCCCGGGTCTCGGGGAATACACGGTACAGAGAATCAGACCATCGCTAACGAACAGAGGCGAGGACGAGACAGAGGTGATCGTAGTTGATAAGGGGAGCACCATCGACCTGGCCGCGGACCTCCCGAACTTAGTCGCGGCCATCCAGGAGGTGTTTACACAGGCGGGCCTAGGCGAAGCAGCAGAACATCTAAAGCCACTGCCAGCGACGACAGTGAGGCCAGGGACTGACCCAGCAAAGCCGGAAACGTATATGCGGGTAAGAATCACAAGAAGCGGCAATCTTTTCACTGGGCTAGCCAGCGAAGCGGCGTATGAGTGGCTGGGGAAGCAGGACAGACGTACGGTCCGCCTCTCTCTCCCCAATAAATCCCGGTCCTACCTCCTCCAACACTCTGACTTTTCTCGCACGGGAGATAAGTTTAAAGGCAGAAGAGGGAAGGCAGCGCCACCAGCAGCAGGGGCGCAGCAGACGGAGGACATCGTGCAAGCGCTGGAGAGCAAGCTCTCCAACCAGTGGGCGAAAGCTGCGAAGGGCGGGGCCGGTGACGAGGCCATCAACGAGCTCCGCAAGGCCGTGGAGAAGCTCGAGGGCACGTGCAAGAGCGGCTTCACGGACAGCGTTGAGGCCACGAACAACGTCTCCAGCAAGGTTGACGAGGTCAAGGACTCCGTGATCGACCTCACTGAGGAGAACCGAGTGTTCCAGAAGCAGCATATTGGAATCTCCAGCGAAATATTAACGTCCTTCAGCAACTCCAACAACGCGCTGGCCAAGTTGCTGAA